AGCCTCCCAAGTAGCTGGGACCACAGGCACCCACCACAACGCCCGGCTATTTTTTGGTTGCAGCCATTATTGTTGTTTGGTGGGTCCGGGCTGGATTCAAACCCGCCACCTTAGGTGTATGTGGCTGGCGCCTTAGCTGCTTGAGCCACAGGCGCTGAGCCCAAAGATTTCTTAAATAGGACACAAAAATCACAAACTATAAAAAATAGGTAAGATGAACTTGTCAGTATTAAAAACTTATCTTTGGCTCAGTGCCTGTGGCTCAAGTGGCTAAGGTGCCAGCCATATACACCTGAGCTGACGGGTTCGAATCCAGCCCTGGCCCACTAAACAATGATGGCTGCAACCAAAAAATATCCAGGCGTTGTGGTGGGTGCCTGTAGTCCCAGCTACTTGGGAGGAGGAAGCAGGAGAATCTCTTGAGCCCAGGAGTTGGAGGTTGCTGTGAGCTGTGACACCACGGCACTCTACCCAGGGTGACAGCTTAAGGCTCTGTCTCAATAAATAAATAAATAAATAAATAAATAAATAAACTTATCTTCAGAAAATAGACTTAAAAAATGAAAAGGCAGGCCACAGACTGGGAGAAAATAGTTGCTAAATATCTGATAAAGGACTTATGCAGAATATATGAAGAACTCTTAAAACTCAGTAAGAGGACAATTCAATTAAAAAATGGGCAAAACTAGCCGGGGTTGTGGCAGCCACTTGCAGTCCCAGCTACTTGGAAGGCTGAGGCAAGAGAATCACCTAAACCCAAGAGCTAGAGGTTGCTATGAGCTGTGACGCCATGGCACTCTACCAAGGGTGACAAAGTGAGACTCTTGTCTCTAAAAAAAAAAAAAAACATGGGCAAAAGTTCAAACAGACATCCCCCCCAAAAAAACTATACAGATATGGTAAGTAAACATATGAAAATATGCTCGGCTTCACTAGTTATCAGGGAAATACAAATTAAAGCCACAATGAGATACCATTATACACCCAGAATGACTCAAATACTAAGAATTGGTAAGGAAGTAGGGCAACTAGAACTCTCATAAACTGCTGGTAGGGCTACAGCCTCTTTGGAGAAAGTTCTTAAAGTTTCTTATATAAAGTTATATAAACACTATATCTATATTACAACTCAAGATAAAGTCTAGTTCACACAAAGACTCACACAGCAGTGTTCTTAAAGCATCATCCATAATAGCTCTAATCTGTAAGTAACACAAATGTCCATTAACTGATGAATGAATCAACAAATTATAGTAGCTGGGCATGGTGGCTCACACCTATAATCTAGCATTCTTGGAGGCCAAGGCAGGTGGATTGCTTAAGATCAGGAGTTTGAGACCAGCCTGAGCAAGAGCAAGACCCCATCTCTAAAAAATAGCTGGGTGTTGTGGCGAGTGCCTGTAGCTCCAACTACTTGGGAGGCTGAGGCAAGAGAATTGCTTAAGCCGAAGAGTGTGAGGTTTCTATGAGCTGTGATGCCATGGCACTCTGCTGAGGGCAACAGAGACCCTGTCTCAAAAAAAAAAAAAAAAAAAAAAGACATACTAATACATACAACAATATGAATGAATCTCCAAAACATTATGCCAATTGAAGGAACTCAAATATAAACGACTACATACTGAACTCAAAATGGATTCTAGATCTAACCCTAAAATGTAAAATTTTAAAACTTTTAGAAGAAAATACAAGAGAAAATCTTCATGACTTGGATTTAGACAAAAAATTCTTAGGTATAACACCAAATGCATGACCCTAAAAAAGAAAAAATTGATATATTTTAATTTAGACTTCACCAAAATTAAAAACTTTTGTTCCATGGAAAATATTTTTAAAAGATAGAAAGACAAGCTATAGCCTGGGAGAAAATACTTGCAAATCACATGTGTCACAAAGGACTTATGTCCAGAATATGTTTTTTAAAAAACTAGAACCTCAGAAACCTACTAGTAAAAACAACCAAACAATGCAATTTAAAAATGAGCAAAAGATCTGAACAGATACTTCACCATAGAGAACATTCAGATGGCAAATAAGCTACATGAAAAGATAGTCAACATCATTAGCATTAGGTAATAAAACCACAATAAGATACAACTACACATCTATTAGAATGGCTAAAATAAAATATATTGACAATAATAAGTGTAGTCAAGGATACAGAGTAACTGGAAATCGCATACATTATTGTTTTGGGGGGGTTTTTTTGAGACAGAGCCTCAAGCTATCTCCCTGGGTAGAGTGCCATGGCTTCACTGCTCACAGCAACCTCCAACTCCTGGGCTCAAGCGAGTCTTCTGCTTCAGCCTCCCAAGTAGCTGGGACCACAGGCGCCCACCACAACACCCGACTATTTTTTGGTTGCAGCCATTATTGTTGTTTGGTGGCCCGGGCTGGATTTAAACCCGCCACCTTAGGTGTATGTGGCTGGCGCCTTAGCCACTTGAGCCACAGACGCCAAGCCCATACATTGTTGTTGATCTAAAATGGTATAGTCATTCTGGAAAAGTCTGACAATTTCTTATGAAGTTAAATATGCACTTACCATATGGCCCAGCAATCCCGTTCCTAGTTATTACCCTGGAAAAATGAACTTATGTTCACATAAAAATCTGTGAACAAATGCTTATCCCCATTCTATTTGTAATCATGAAAAAGTAGAAGCAGCCCAGTGGGTGAACAAACTGTGGTACATCCATAGAATAAACCCTGCTCAGCAATAAAAAAGGAGCAAACTATTGATATACATACCAATTTGGATGAACCTCAAAGACATGCTGAGTGAAAGAAGCTAGTCTAAAAAGTTACATGCGATATGAATGATTCTATTCATGTGACATTCTAGAAAAGACAAAACTATAGTAATGGAAAACCAGTCAGTGGTTGCCAGTGGTTATGGGGGAGGGAAGTTTAAAGAAATAGCACAAGGCGGGCAGCGCTGTGGCTCAAAGGAGTAGGGCGCTGGCCCCATATGCCAGAGGTGGCAGGATCAAACCCAGCCCCAGCCAAAAACTGCAAAAAAAAAAAAAAAGAAATAGCACAAGGAATGTTAGTGGAGTGAGAACAACTGTTCTGTGTCCTACTTGTACTGGAGGTTGCACAAATTTTTACAAGTGTTAACATTTATAGGACTGTACACCAAAATATTACATGGTAATATGAAAAAAATAAAAATTTATTTATTTATTTAATTTGAGACAGAGTCTCAAGCTGTCACCATGGGTAGAGTGCTGTGGTGACACAGCTCACAGCAACCTCAAACTCTTGGGCTTAAGTGATTCTCTTACCTCAGCCTCCCAAGTAGCTGGGACTACAGGTGCCCACTACAACGCCCGCTATTTTTTGGTTGCAGTTGTCATTGTTGTTTGGCAGGCCTGGGCTGGATTCAAACTCGCTAGCTTTAGTGTATGTGGCTGGTGCCCTGGCCGCTTGAGCTACAGGCACCAAGCCAAAAAATAAAAATTTTAATTTTAATTGGGGCCTTGATGAGTTTGCAAGAATTAGCTATAAAGCACTTACTACCTGGCACATAGTAAACAGTCGATATAATATTGTAGCTATTATTATTATTCACGTACTATTATTTAAGTTTATGAGATTTTTCTCCTCTCTAAAAACTTACTTAAATACAGCAGAAACACAAACATTAAAAAGGGTTGCTCACTGATAGGAAAACCCACTAATTATAGGCAAAAGTGTGGCAAAAGTGGGAAAAGAGAGAAGTCCTAGGAGAAGGGTGGCCTGGGAAGATGATGTTGATCACTTGCTAGGGGCTGACCTTGCCAAGTTCCAGGGGTCCTCAAACTTTTTAAACAGGGGGCCAGTTCACTGTCCCTCAGACTGTTGGAGGGCCGGACTGCGGGTCCGGGATGAGTCGGCTGCTAAACAGGACAGGCAGCGGCAACAAAAACACCTGAAGGGCTGGATAAATGTCCTTGGTGGGCCTCATGTGGCCCGTGGGCCGTAGTTTGAGGACGCCTGCTTCAGGCCACCTGGCACCCCTTATGACGCTTACCATGTGCTGCTTCTCTCTTATGGCAGTTTGCTGGGATGGAGTCAGGCTATGCTTGCTTCTGCGGAAATAATGCTGATTACTGGAAGTATGGAGAGGCAGCCAGTACTGAGTGCAACAGCGTCTGCTTCGGAGATCACACCCAACCCTGTGGTGGCGATGGCAGGATCATCCTCTTTGATAGTGAGTATGCCTGTGTCTCTCAATTCCCAAGGCACAGGAACCCTTGGACCAGAGTGACAAGCCTGCCCATCTATCTTCTTTTCCATTTATTTATTCATTCACTTAGCAATACCTGAGAAGCACCTACTATAGGCCAGGCACTGACCAGACCCGGGGAATATGCACAGAGCACAAGACTCACCCCCTCCCTTCTAGAAAGAAGGACAGATGTCTAACAAGTGATTGGTTTAAAGTGAGGTGGCCTATTGACAGATGCTAAGACAACATAGGAAAGATAAATTTTTTTTTTTTGGAGACACTGTCTCACTCTGTCACCTTGGGTAGAGGGTTGTGGCTAATTTTACAAAGACATTAATAAAACTGTTAGTATCAGCTTTAATATCCTCTAATTTCAATATAATCTCCAAGCCCATGCAGTGTTTTCTCAGGCATTTGGAATTTATTATCTTACTGTCATGCATCTGAGAGCATATGCTTTAAGTTGTTTTTCCAGGCCTGGCATTGGCTTTACTCTGCCCCACCTCTTCTCTAACTGGCAGCTTTGTGAGATACTGGCTAGAGGAAGAGTGTGTCCTGAATGGGGTGTGGATCCAGCACACTGACCTCTCTAACACTGTGTTGTAACCACTGAATACCTAATGCCTTGTTCAGTCTATCCACAACCACCCAGTGACAGTGAAACTTTATGAGAGTCATAGCACCAGTGCAGCACCAGATACTAAGATGGTAGAAAGGGGCTCGGTGCCCATAGCTCAGTGAGTAGGGCACCAGCCACATACACTAAGGCTGGAGGGTTCGAGCCCAGCCTGGGCCTGCTAAACAACAATGACAACTGCAACCAAAAAATAGCTGGGCATTGTGGCAGATGCCTGTAGTCACAGCTACTTGAGAGGCTGAGGGAAGAGATTTGCTTAAGCCCATGAGGTTGCCGTGAGCTATGATGCCACGGCACTTTAGCAAGGGCAACATAGTGAGAGTCTGTCTCAGAAAAAAAAAAAAAGATGGTAGAAAGGAGATAATCACAAATGAGACAAACAAAAGTCTTGAGATTGCCAAGAAATATTAATAGTATCTATAGTATCTATTGTGTTTCCCTGAAAATAAGACATACCCCAAAATAAGCCCTAGCAGGATTTCTATGCATTTGTTAAATATAAGCCCTACCCCAATAATAAGACCTAGTGATGGGCCTAGCGTATCTGCATAGCCACACCATGCCTTTTGGCCCAGAGCAGTAAGGAAGATTGGAATACCTTTTATCTGCCACAGCTCCTTTCTCAGAGTCATTCGCACTTGCGCGGGCACGTGTGTGGTAACTGCGGTCGCAGACATCCTATTGCGCACATGTGAATGGCTAGGGAAAAAGAGTTCACGCATCACTAGTGCCAGCCCCACCAACAAGGTCAGCTCCCCCTGTCAGGTTCCAGAAGAAGATGACTTAACTGTATTTGAATAAATGTAGATTGTTGTATTATACTTAATAAAAATAAGACATCCCCTGAAAATAAG